TCAGAGGTGTGCGGCGTAATCTGACGATCGCCTTTGGAACTCATCAACACAGATGTTGTTTGATATATCGCAAGTTCTTCAGTCCTATTATGGTACTCCTCAGAAAGGCATTTATTCCTTTCTCTAGATGCAAAACTAACAATCTCAAAAAGTAAGTACGCTTTTGAGATGTTGGGGGTTCCAGGGAAAAATTCCGCGTTAAATTCTGATTTGATCTTTACTTCTGCTGCTATACTGTATTCGATCACTAGTGGTGACCTACAGTCGATTCCGTCGGTTCCTCGTTTTGTCGACTCCTACTCTCGCTGTCAGCGAGGTGTGCGGCGTAATCTGACGATCGCCTTTGGAACTCATCAACACAGATGTTGTTTGATATATCGCAAGTTCTTCAGTCCTATTATGGTACTCCTCAGAAAGGCATTTATTCCTTTCTCTAGATGCAAAACTAACAATCTCAAAAAGTAAGTACGCTTTTGAGATGTTGGGGGTTCCAGGGAAAAATTCCGCGTTAAATTCTGATTTGATCTTTACTTCTGCTGCTATACTGTATTCGATCACTAGTGGTGACCTACAGTCGATTCCGTCGGTTCCTCGTTTTGTCGACTCCTACTCTCGCTGTCAGCGCTCTCTTCAACAATGTCTGTTCTCTCTGATTTCTTTGCCATTCCCTCGACTTCAATAGGAGGACCATCGCTTTTGTCCTGCCCATCGATGACAGAGATTAAGACAGAATACTCTGGTGTTCCCATACAGATAGAAGAACACGAGTTGAGTAAGGGCTAGGAGCTGAAGATACATAGCACGAGTGCGCGATGTGAGCTCTTCCAACTCCTACCATCTTTGAAGTTCGTTTCGTCAAATGCCTAATTTGTAGAAGACGGCTCATCTGCTCGACGTCGACACCTTCTGGAACAGTCCACTGGCGAAGGAACGACCTATAAAAGAAGGAACTCAGAAATTATCTGCAGAATAACGATGATGTAGATATTTGGAGTTATGAGACTTACCTTGAAGTATAACTCGAGCCTTCCTTCACTTCTTGTTTGCCTTCAACAGTCAGGGTTCGGCCATCGATGTTCACTTTCAACTCATCTGGCTTGAATTTCGACACGTCCAATGAGATCGCCAACTTGGATCCATCATCGCTAACCTGCAAGGGTTTTATTTATTAGATTGAAGAGTTCGGTGAGCTGAGAGCACTCCTCTAAAACCCCTCACCAACCTTGCACAATTGGCCCATGGGACTTTTCTTCCCTGTTCTTACTCTCGGAGTAGGAGGGATTCGTTCGATTTGGTAGAACTGATTGAAGGCGTCGTCGAGTTCGCTGAAGACTTCATCCAGAAGGCGAGGCAAAATCGCCTTTTCCGTAGCGCATGGAAGAATGCAGATAGACATTGTCGATCGCTGGGTAGTATAAGCTCTGTGTGCTGGAACCGCTATTCCCGGAGCTGCTTATATACCGTTCGGGGAGATCCTCCGGAACCTTCGCGAACCATCTGACCCCGCCCCTTCGTCTCGCTGCGCCGGCGATAAATAGGCTGATGGGCGGGGCCACCCTGCGAGAGAGAGTGAGACGCCGGCAAAACAACAAACAACGAACGTTGCAGAAGGCTCTGGAAATCCATCACCGCGGGTATATAAGGAACTCCCGGAGCAGTTTCCAATATCGCTTTGCTTCAATCTTCTTTCAAGCAGTTACCTTATCTCTGTAAGTCTTTTTCGAGATTCCTTTCCTCAAGTATCCGTATTCCTCTATAGCGAAAATCTCAACCATGACTATATTATTTAGGAAATTCTTAGCAGACAATAATGGTGTTATGGCCAGTAGCTCGTCTAACGGACCGTCTGCTTTATGATACAGTGAGAGATCTCGACCTTCTCGAAAGAAGTATGTTCCCATATTGGAGAGATGCTGATCATTCAGTACTCCATGTGGCCAACGAAACTCAGCAGGTGAAAATTTCTTCCTTAAAAGGTCATATCCAAGGATCGTGAGCACCCATGAAGGATCAATTTCATTTGTAGATGGTAGACGACGACAAGAAATTCGCCGTTTCGTTGGATGTGTCTCAGTTCCGTCCAGAGGAGTTGAATGTGCAGCTGGAAGGGCGTCAGTTGACCATTGAAGGCAAGCAGGAGCGCAAAACGGAGAACAGTGCCATACACAGGTAAGTGCTGCAGTTTCTTTGTCAATATGGATTTTAATGTCCCGTGATTGTGTTATAGAGTGACCCGAAGACACACTCAAGCGCCTCCAAACACCCGTCACATAGACGACTCCAGAAAAAAGTACCAAGGGCGAGGCCCACGGTATGGTGGTTGGCCGTTGGTGGGTGTGTGGGGAGGGCTACTGTATCACACGTTCAGGGACCGTAAAATCTGACTTGTGTCCCTTTATGTAGCATGTACATTGAATATTCATTGGTTGTATTGTAGGTCTTTCACTCGCAAATATCTGCTTCCCGAAAATGTCGATCTGGAGACTATTCGTACTCAACTCAATGACCAGGGTCATTTGTCAGTCGAGGCTCCGAAGAACACCGAGGGTCACAAGCAGAAGAGAACTATTCCTATCATGGCCGCTCCTCAAAAGTAATGTAACTCGAGCCACTACTTGTACACATGTTAATAATACAGTTGTTTAAAGTTAAGTAGAGTTCCCCTATACGAGTACTCAAAGGCACAGTTCACGATAGTTTTGGGGTATCCGGTTTACGAAAGACGTCGTCGCAGTGCAAATAAGGTGAGAAGAGGGTGAGAGTCGAGAGAGTATTTATTGAGAAAAGCAAAAGTTCCAAAAAGGAGTGAAACCAAGTGTTCAAAAATTACAGAGAATAGTAGAACGACACCTAAGGCCAGATGATCAGCTAATCGAATGGGTCCCGATGCGAATACTGCAACCTGTATCGCCCCCACACTCTTCTGACATAACATCGGTCGATGGGCGTGGCATCCGACCAGTAGCGGGGCTCCTGCTATGCCCTAGCTCTTGAGTCCTTGAGCCCGACAGAGTCCTGTTCCTTGGGGACCCCTGGGTAATCCTGAGGGGAATCTAAAAAACCATTTTTATTGTGAACTGTGCCTTTAACTAGTGAGTAGCGGTAGTATTAGCTAATCAGTTTTACTGTTTTTGTGTTTGTCTGTATATTTGCTGTTGAAAGTTACCCAACGTGTATTCGTGCTTTCCTAGTTATTATAGTTGCGCTTGATACTCAATAAACATTGTGCTTGGTGATGTGAAAATGCCCTAACAATAATAGAAGCATTGCAACTTCCTATTCAAGTAGCCTAATTCCTAGATCAAGTCTGAGTACGTCTCCCGTTGGAAACTGTTTGCTGATAGCAATTTCAGGCAGATTAGCTAACATATTCAGCGCTAGCGCTAATAGAAGAAGGAGTTCAGCCTCTCCTCGTCCAGTAGCATCATGTGTGACCGTATAAGGTACATTTCTATTATACTATGAGCTTTGAAGAGAATGAAAACTTGGCTGGTGTTTAGAGCTGCTTCCACCTTGTATTCCTGCTTGCCTTCAATGGACACCGAGCACCTTTCTATATGCACATCCAATCTCTCGAGCGGAAACGGGGCACATTCAAGGAGATAGCGATTTTCTTGCTGGCGTCCACAGTCTACAGTTGAAATAAAACTTCCGGTGACCTTCGATTTCATTGGTCTCATCAAGCAATGAATAGTCGGCCTTATTCAATAAGAGAGTCGAGATCTTTCGTGGGGTCACATTCTGTTTACAGATTTCTCTTCTACAAATTTTATACAGAAAATTACTTTTTGAGCGGTGGGATAACCTTTTCTCTTCTTGAAGGGAATGGGGTTGGCTTTGTAGCATGTCAGCGTTATGTTAGCGCGCTGTATTCACCATTTTCCGGGTGTGGTGCAGCAGGAACGAAATTGCCATGTGGCGGCGAGAGAGACGTCGCGCGCAAAGGAATGTAGCAGAATGCGCCACCAAGTCAGAAATGCACTCCCCCATTCTTCCCTCGGAAGTCTTCTTACTCGTGCGGTGGTGGCGGCGGTAGAGGAGGGTAAGATTCTGATGCAGCTGACAGGATTTTTGGTTGTGCCGGAGATGGTGGAATCAGTTTGTGGTGGAGGTGGTTCACCTTCAATTTTAATGGAAAGATAGATGTAGCCGCAATGACGCCCGATTACTTAGTAGGTACAGACTTCCAAACTTAAACTTAGAGGAATTGAAGCCTTCATCCTGTCAAGACTGTCAGAAGAGCGGTGATTGATCAACATATGCGCAAATATATTGTGAGATCACCAAGTTTTCGAGATCTGAATGCTACCCACTTCATCAGAACTTACTTCGTTTTTTTATGCTAACCCATGGAACCCATAA